GTTCGATCGACGCGCGAGCAGCCGCTGGCCTTGGGCTGGCGCTCCGCAAAAAAATAACCCTCCTGCCGATCGCTGCCGAGAAGATTCCACGGCTCGGTGCCGTAGACGTCGGCGAAGGCGACAGCGCGGCCAGGGAGGGGTGTGCCGGCGACCCAGTTGGCGAGGTAGTCGACCACGAGTTCCTCCGCCGTGGGAACGAACCTGTAGCCTGACGGAACGAGGTCGACGGGATCCATGTACGACGGAAAACGATGGTTGTTTCTGGAAGAGAGGAGAGGAAACGAAGGCGGAGACACAGAGTGGGAGTGGGAGAGGAGAGCGCGTAGACGTATATAGAGGCAGTGGGCGGGTTTCGGATTACGGATTTCGGATTCCGAATTAATTCGTATTATATATTTAATTAGAAACTAAATGGCTACATAGATCTCTTGTTTCCTTCTTCTTCTTCTTCTTCTTCTTCTTCTGCCTCTCATCTATGTTCCAGAAATAAGATTACCCATTTCATATTGGTAAGTAAGGCAATTATTGAGTTTTAAGTGGGAATCTCCAGTAGTAATACTGTTTAGGCATGTTATTTTTAGTTACTTTGCTTTACGTACCCTTATATAAGTGTCGTCAATAATTCCTTGAGTTTTGTGAACAATGATATCCCTTATTGAGAAGTTAAAATATGAGTATTAGAATGATCGTTATAAATATTTGTAATAATATTATATAATTTTAAAATATTAATTTGTTGATAGTTATTTTTAAATAAAATCTTTGATCTCTCGTATAAGTTAGGGATTTCTGAAACACGGTAAATATCACATGGTTGTGTTGTCTTTGCTTTATCTTGATTTTGTAATAATTATTTTTCGAGAGAATCAAAGATTAGGGAGTTTAGACTTTGCATCAAAGCTTAAAAAATCTTCGCTTTGGTGTGCTTCAATGTTGTAGCAGTTTCATGTTGTAAGAACTCATACTAAGATGCAAATTCTTGTTAATAGAATCTAATACAATATTCATCTTATTGCACTTGTTGGTGTGTTTTATCCATATAATCGATCGGTGAGCCATTTTCTTAGTTCTCATGTCATATATACTTTGACTTCTAGTATTGTTGTTTACACAGCGAACTCCTTTTATAGAAAGGGAGACTAACTGGGTAAGTGGATGCTTTAAGATTAATATATCTGACCTTCTCATTTCTCCCGATTAATTCTACCAATCAGTTGATCTGATAATAGACATTGCAATCTATTTTTGCATCTTGAAACTCTTGCGCTTGAACATATTTGTAAATGAACGTCACAATTTGTGACAATAATAACAAATTGTTCATATTTTGAACAACATCCAATCCAATGTTATTTCATTCATTTTAATTCACACAATTTTCAAGAGTTCCAATAGAGTTGGTATAAAAATTTATTATATAGGTTCCAGATATTCCTTCTGTCTTTCCTCCTCCGAACAAATAATCCAAAGAGTTAAAAGCTTTGGCATACTATTAATCCAATCCAATATCAAAAACACTATAAATAAGGATATTAGGTACCTATTGTGCTACGAAAGACTTGCATTTATTTGATGTTGTGAAGTTCGTCGAGAAAAAAGCTATGTTGACTAATTTCTACCACCCGAGTCACCGTGTGGGCAACTTTGTATATTCGGGATCAAACCAAGTCATATTGACTTCTTGGCCACGACATAAAGATTCACCAATATTTTGATACTATAATGAGGACCCGAGGCGTATACCTCGGTTATGAGTCTTTGGCTCCCCTATGGGAGGAAACATTGATAAGACTATTTAGTCTCACATTGATCGAAGAGTACGTAAACCAAGAGCTCATAAGTTCGTTATGTCTCCCTTACCCTCAAAGGTGTCTTTTGGAGCTCACATACTCTTAAAGAGTACGCCCATCGTCAAAAACGAATAATTCCTCACGAGCCCATAGATCGTACCAATGGTCGACCGACCAAATGATCCAAATATATCTTATTTACTCAATTAACTTGTTAGATTCAAAAAATAGTCTTATTAAATAAAACTTCTTGTCAATGATTCAAACATGAATATGTAAATTAAATAAAAATATTTTTATAAGATTTCACACTGCATTTATATTTATCATGGAGATCATTATTTATCTATAACAACAACAATAATTATCTTTGAAAAGATATCTCTGATAGGAAATTATCTTTGTTTCTTTGCCACTAATTATAAGATACACAAAGGAAAATAAAAACCTGTAAGCTTCCCCTTTTCCCAAAATCGCAAGTCCTACACATTCTACTGTATCATTGTTAATTGCGTGGTTAATTTGCACTTTGCCTCTTCCTCTTCCTCTTCCCAGTCAACGGAGCAAAATGTAGTGTGCCACTTTCTAAGGCCAGGAATTAAAGGAGGTAAGCCGGCTTTTTGAACCCAACGCTCCTCTGCTTTCCTCCTCTTTAGACTTTCCACCAACATGATAACTTCACATATTATATATATATATATATGGTCAATGAACAGTGGAAGATTACTGCATAAAAGTAGAAGGCCAGTTAAGAGGCCCTCAACATGGCAATTGAAATCTGTACATAGCAGCAAGTAAAATACCACATGAATCACAAATAATCTTGCATTTGACCGTCCTTTTGACCCGTCGAAATCCCAAGAATATTCTTCTCCAAGATTCTTGCATCCCCAACGCTGGTGTCCTTCCGCGTCCTCCACTATAAATGCTCGCCAGCCCGCGTCTTGCCTGCTCGCCTTCGCGTCGCTCGGTCTCTTCGGTTGCTATCTCCCGCTAAGTGGTACGTGAACCGGCGCTTTTTGTGTTAGGGTTTCTTCTTCTTCTTCTTCTTCTTTTCTTGTCTGTTATTGTTCTGCATTAGCTGTCTTCTTTCCGGATCTGGTTTCTTCCTTTTTAGTTCTCCATCAAACGATTTGACGATTTGTTCCGGTTTTGGATTCCAACAATATCTTTATTTTAAGCAAAAATGCCGACTTGTAGTTTTGGATTCATCGTCTAAACCTGATGAGTTCACAGGGAGGAGAGGAGGAGAACAAGGCGAGCATGTCGCAGCAACTCCAGGTCTTGAACGCGCTCGACGTCGCGAAGACGCAATGGTACCACTTCACGGCGATCGTCATCGCGGGCATGGGCTTCTTCACAGACGCCTACGACCTCTTCTGCATCTCACTCGTCACCAAGCTCCTCGGCCGCATCTACTACCACGTCGACGGGTCCCCCACCCCCGGGTCACTCCCGCCCCAGGCCTCCGCCGCCGTTAATGGCGTCGCCTTCGTTGGGACCCTCTCCGGCCAGCTCTTCTTTGGTTGGCTCGGTGATAAGATGGGCCGCAAGCGCGTCTACGGCATGACCCTCATGATCATGGTCATCTGCTCCATCGCCTCCGGTCTCTCTTTCGGCCACGACTCCAAGGGCGTCATGGCCACACTCTGCTTCTTCCGCTTCTGGCTCGGCTTCGGTATCGGCGGCGACTACCCTCTCTCCGCCACGATCATGTCGGAGTACGCTAATAAAAAGACCCGCGGGGCGTTCATCGCCGCCGTCTTCGCCATGCAGGGCGTCGGCATCCTCGCCGGCGGCATGGTGGCCATCGTGATTTCCTCCGCGTTCAAGAACAGGTACCAGGCTCCGCCCTACGCCATCGACCCCGTTGGCTCCACCGTCCCCCAGGCCGACTACGTCTGGCGCATAATTCTCATGTTCGGGTCCCTGCCGGCGGCGCTGACCTACTACTGGCGGATGAAGATGCCGGAGACGGCGCGGTACACCGCCCTCGTGGCGCAGAACGCGAAGCTGGCGGCGTCGGACATGTCCAAGGTCTTGCAGGTGGAGATCGAGGAGGAGCAGTCGAAAGTGGAGCAAATCGCCAACGCGCCGTCGAACGCCTTCGGCCTCTTCTCCAAGGAGTTCCTCCGCCGCCACGGCCTCCACTTGCTTGGCACCGCCACCACCTGGTTCCTCCTCGACATCGCCTTCTACAGCCAGAACCTCTTCCAGAAGGACATCTTCACCGCCATCGGGTGGATCCCCAAGGCCGCCACCATGAACGCGCTCGAGGAGGTCTTCCGAATCGCCCGGGCGCAGAGCATCATCGCGCTCTGCGGCACCGTGCCCGGCTACTGGTTTACCGTCGCGCTGATCGACATCATCGGCCGGTTCACGATCCAACTCCTTGGGTTCGCCATGATGACGATCTTCATGCTGGGCCTCGCCATCCCGTACCACCACTGGACCACCAAGGGCCACCAGATCGGCTTCGTCGTCATGTACGCCTTCACCTTCTTCTTCGCCAACTTCGGGCCCAACAGCACCACGTTCATCGTGCCAGCGGAGATCTTCCCCGCGCGGCTCCGCTCGACCTGCCACGGTATCTCTGCGGCCTCCGGGAAGCTCGGCGCCATCGTCGGCTCTTTCGGGTTCCTCTACCTGGCGCAGAACCAGAACCCGGCCAAGGCCGACCACGGGTACCCTGCGGGCATCGGAGTAAGGAACTCGCTCTTCCTCCTCGCCGGCTGCAACCTCTTGGGCTTACTCTTCACCTTCCTGGTTCCGGAGTCGAAGGGGAGATCGCTGGAGGAGATGTCCGGCGAGAACGAAGGTGACGAGCAGGCCGCGGGAGTATTGAACAGGACCATGCCTGTCTAATTACTTGCACGCGTGCTGCCACCATTATCGTCCTTTGTTGCTCTACCGTTCTTTCTATTAGAATGTTAAGCCCTAAGCATATTACCTACTCCGAAACACCTGCTTAAAGGCCATCAGAGGGGATGCTCCAGGGCGAGTGATCGCGTCGTTTTGTACTCGCTATGATGTCAAGGTGTTAATGAAGATTACGTTGTTTCTTTGTTCTCCTCTCTGAAACTCCCACTGCAAGTGCGATGAGACATCGAAGTAAACTCGAGCTCTCAGCATCAGGCGTCAAGATTCGCATATGCCCGCGAGAAAGCAGCGTTAATGGCTTCGGACCGGTAGTAGAGCCGACCACTCGGGCCGGAAGATAAAGGAAGTCGGTTTGCCAATCGATCCGCTGACCGGTCCGGTTCTGAGTTTTGACGTCATCATGACAACATACGATGGGAAGCCGTTCCGTTGATCTCACGTGCAACACGCCATCTCGGCCTCCGCTAGCCGGCCTCGCTCCCATCTCTCCGCCGGCGCGCCAAACCCTAAACCGAACTCCCGCGTGATGGTGCTCTTCGGTCTTCCTCCTCCTGGAACGTCCTCGATCTCCTCCACCACATCTCGTTCCGATCGCGCGACGATACGCTTCCGAACCCTTCTCCGGCGAAGTGGCAGCGGCAAATGCGATCTCGATCGCTTCCTCCCTAGGCTCCCCTCGACGGATCCCTTTCTGTCTTTTGCTTCCGCCTTGGTCATGTTTTTCCTGGGTGGGTCTACTGTTGCTGTGATCGCCCTATTTGTCGTTTCCTGTTGTGGCTCGTGTGATGGCTGTTTTGTGATTGGGATTTGGTCTTGGGAGGTGCAGCGTTCGGGCTTGAGGAGGAGGGCGAGCGGCGGTAGCTACAGGCCGATGGTGGTGCGAGACAGGGCCAAGGAGATCGCTTTCGGCCAGAGCTCGTGGTCTTTCCTCCAGGCAGGCATTGAGAAGCTCGCGGACGCCGTGGGAGTCACCCTCGGCCCCAGGGGTACCCTCGTTTCGTCTTTATCTCCTCGTATGTTCTGGTAATTGTTGGCCTTTTTGTGCATTTTCCCTTCTGCTGCAGGGCCCTTTCTATGTCAGTAATAATACAATGCTACATTTTGTCATGTATTAGTTTAGAAAGCTGTCGAATCTTTCCCTTCTCGTTACATTATCTGGTTGGTTGTTCTTTTGGTACAGTATGTTGTGTCGAAAATGAAGGGAGGTGTTGGATGAGGTTGGGAACTCCAAGGTAGTTAATGGTGGAGTCACAATTGCCCAGGCTATTGAGCTGGCTGATCCTAAAAACGAGCAGATCTTCATCTGTTCTTTATTTTGTATGTTGAAGGTGGCAAGCTAGACCAATGACTCCACAGGTGATGGGACGACAACTGCATCTGTCCTTACTCGCGAGACCGGTAAGTTGGGTCTGCTAGGTGTTACTTCTGGTGAAAATCCTTCTTCTGTCAAGAAGGGGATTGACAGAAGCTAGTTGAAGAGCTTGAGAAGAAAGCAAGGCCCGTAAAAGGGCGTGGTGACATCAAAGGTAAACTTGTTTGTTTATGTACCTGAAAACTCTCATTAGTATACATATTATTATGTGTGTCAGATGATATTAAGTAACATCAATTGAAAAAAGAAATAAAAATCTTAGTAGCTGCAGCAATACCAGACTTCCACTTCTCTGTTATATCATTGTGCAACTGTCATTGTATACACGTTTCAAATTGTCGCTCTTTGATCTCTTTGTGAATTAATGTAAGAATGATAATGTTTTCAATCTGACAGAGGTTACATTTCCCCACAATTGGTCGCAAATCTTGAGAAGTTGATCTTGGAATTTGAAAATGCCAAGATTTCAGTGACCGATCAGAAGATTTCAACAATAAAGGAAATCATCCCTTTTTCAGAGAAGATGACACAGCTGGGAGCTCTTCTCCTCATTATTGCTGAGGATGTAACTGCTAGAGGTTTGGCTACTCTTGTTGTGAACAAGTTGGCAGAGCATTCTCAATGTTGCAGCAATAAAATCACCTGTTTTGGTGACAGGAGAAAGGCTATCCTTCAGGATATTGCAAATTTGACAGGTGGATCATTACTAGTCTATTTCTTGTGAAATTTTTTACATTTTCCATTGGTTAATGGCATTGCTTCTAGTCCAATATAAGAGTCATTTGTTTCTAAAAGTTTTTTTTTACAGAAAACTTCAATTAAAAATAAAAGTGAACATGAATAGTTTCAGTCGTAGCAGCGAGGAAAATTAGCGTGTATTGAAAAGAAGCAGTAACAACCAGGAACCTTAGTCTTTATAGAGAAAGAGGCAGCACCTGTAGATCATTATCATACCAGTTCACCGCTTGATTTCTCTCCCTAAAGGTATGTGTAAGATAGTATAAACAATTGCTGTTAATATAGTGTCTCCAAGGAGGCTCCACCTTCCTTCAAAAAGATCATAATTTGAGGGTCCAACTTCATCTAGATAGATATGCTTGACTTGATTTCATACAATAAGGCCCCTGCTTCGGCTTCCAAAATAAAGCAGCCCTCATATTGGCATTCCCTGCAACAAAAGGACAACCATTAGAAGTACAAATCACAAAACCAGTGCCTGCATTAGCAATCCCATGAATCATAGCTAGTTTTCTGTGCAACTCAGAAGATATGGCATTCGCAATTTTTCTGCAACCCTGTAATTGTGACAGGCATGGCATTCTGTGGCCTGAAATTTGTGAATTTTGGTCTTGCCTGTTGTGTATGCTGGATTTTGTTGTCCTAAGAAATTATTAGCACTTGAATAATTGAGTAGTAACCAGTTGTCCCATTTCAATCAATTGTTTGTGGCTGCATTAATAGAAAATTTTCATCAATCATAACTCTTCTACTTAGCTTGTCTTCTATTTGTTTTCTGTTGGCACGGGGCTGAAATCCAGGCCAAAGATCTTGGCTTATAGATCGAGAATGTATCTGTTGGGCAGCTTGGCACAGCAGGAATATTTACTGTCTCACAGACCTCTACAACAACAATTTCTGATGCTGCAACCAATGATGAGATCCAGGTCAGAATTGCTCAGTTAAAGAAGGAGCTTGCTGAGACAGATTCAGTCTATGATTCTGAGAAGCTAGCTGAACGAATCGCAAAAGGCAGAGTGGCTGTCACAAAAGTAGGTGCTGCAACAGAGACTGAGCTCGAGGGCCCTAAACTTAGGATGGAGCATGCAAAGAATGCCACTTTTGCAACTATAGAGGTGGAGGCGCTGCCTATGTTCACCTCTCAGCTACTCTTCCTACAGTCAAGGAAAAGCTGGAAGATCATGATGAGCTTCTGGGTGTTGATATCGTACAGAAGGTGAGCTATCCAATCAAATAGATTCACGTATGGCCTTTATAAATTCATTTGTGAGTGTTGTTTGTCCTTAAAATTGCAGGTGTATGTAATCCCTCTCTGTTCCCATGTCGGTGTCAAGCCATATATTGTTGTGTAATACCTGTCTTATGTGGGTCTGTTGTGACACCTGAATCTTCTAATGTTGACATAAACATAGGTTCAAGCACCTTCCAAATCTAAATTTTAGGATATACAAATATAGTTAAGATAAAAGTGATTGCACAAACCATATAACAGAACTTTTCATGGTGGAATATCTAATACTGGTTAGCTGCTGTACGTGCCTATCAATTTATCATGTCTAGTGCCCGATGTACGGCTGTAACAATATGGTTATGGATGTTATTTGGCAATTTTGGTTAGGTTCTGAATATCTACATCATTATTTGTTGAAGGAAAAGATATGAATATGTTCATATGCCAATTTCCGAGTCGTGTCATGTTTGTTGTCATCTTAGTGTCTTGGTTCCATGACAAATAACATTCTCTTGTTTCGATGCTTGTTTGTGATGTTGATTGCTGTTACAATTTTGCTATTCATATTCAATGGCAGAGATACCATCTAAATGTTCATCTTCTACAAAAGGTATATTCATCAGATTTGCATCGTGAAATTGCTTATGGAATTTATTCGTTCTTTAAATCGCAATGAGCAGGCACTGGTGGCGCCTGCAGCCTGGATTGAATGAAATGCCGTAGTGGAGGGAGAAGATCAAGGACAGCGGGCAGGAGAGTGGTTAACAATGCAACGACGGACAATTATGAGAATTGGTGGAAGCTGGTGTGATCGACCCTGCAAAGGTGACTGGGCGTGCACTTCAGAATGCTGTGCATCAGTGGCTGGAATGGTCCTTGCGGCACAAGTGATTGTGGTGGAGAAGCCCCAGAAAAAATCTCCTGCCAATCCACCAACCAAAGGTCTCCCACTCTGATGATGGCTTGGTTTTCTCACCTTAACGAGTGATAAGTTTATAGCAAATGCGGAGAAGTATGAGGAGACCAGAAATGGAAGACACTCTAGCGGATGTTTCCGGGTTTTCTCCGATAAATTTAGACTGCTTTGTGGATTGCAACTGTCATTGCTCGGAAGATGTTGTAAAAGAGCTACCAAAAGTTGCAAGGCCTCGAGGAAGACATGCTGTAGAATCTTGCAAGTTTTTCGTGGTACGAAGCATGTTATTTTCTCTCTCTAGAATGTTACAAAGGCTCATTAAACACCAGTTTTTCTTGGTTGTCATCTTCAAAAAACCAAAGGAAAAAGGCAAAAGATGCTCAGTTTTCTCTCGTTGCTTTGTTTAATTATAATCTGATGCAGTCTGATGAGATGTGCACAAATAGAAAGTGGATTAGTGACGAGGAAAGATCAGGTAGATTTTTTTTTCTTCACGGAAGAATGTTTTGATATATGTACATCTGCAATGACACAATGAAATGTGTGTAGTTGAGCCTGAAAGATACTGGCCAACAAATTCCAAGATGGATTCTGGGAAAACTAGGGGCCAACAATTGATAAAACAGCCATGAGAACATGGCACAGGGAGCATACATGGGACACCCACTGCTTCCGCATCACCTCCCTCGTCTCCTACCCACAGCAGCGACTCCCACCTCCTGTTCTCTCACCACCACGGAGCCAGGCAATATAAAACCGAGGACACGGCTAGGCCAGTGGCTCAGCAGCGCATCGGTGGCAAGCCTCCAAAGACGAGAGAGCTGCACTGGTGATGGAGACCGTGCCTCCACGATATAGTTTTAGTAGTACAAGGTTCTCGAGAGACGTAGAAAAATGTTTCATGGTACTCGGTGGCTTGTCGCCCACATGATGTT